ATTAAAATATAAAGAAAAACTTAGTATTTGTAATTACCAAGTTACTATGGGGGAAAATATTTTTACGTTGATGTTTTTTCTCTCTCACTGTATAGATAACAGAGCAAGCTCCATACACATTCTGTGAGACAAAAGCGTACATATAGAAGAAAGAAATTCCAGCCTTGGTGTTTTCATGACTCAGTGGTAATAAATTGATGGAATATGCCCTTATAGAAGCTGGTGTCATTTGATGATGTGGCTGTGGAGTTCAGTTGGGAAGAGTGGCAGGAATTGGATATTTCTCAGAAGACCCTATATAGAGATGTGATGCTGGAAACATATGGCATCCTGGTGTCCTTGTGTAAGCTGAAAATATCACATTAAGTTGAAAGGTCAAATGATTTTTTTGTTGGTGGTTTGTCTTGAATTCTGGGCCGAGGTGCCATGCCTCAGCTTTTCAGCTCAGCGTGAGCACTCTATCATTGGGCCACATCACCTCTCCCAGCTTTCTGGTGGTTAATTGGAGATAAGTGTCTCTCAGCTTTCTTGCCAGGTCTGGCTTTGTACTGCGATGCTCAGATCTCAGATTACTGAGTAGCTAGAATTACAGGTGTGAACCACAGATGCCCAGAAATGATTTGTTTTTAGTAGATATGTGAATATTTATTGGACTTTCAATGCTATTTAGATGTAAGATTCCAGTCTGTGGGAAGTGTCATTTGTTTCTAAGGAAAGCTTCAGGTGGATTATATACATTCCAAGGCAATTTAATTCTCATTCTTCAAGAATCCAAATCAGCAGTTTGACAAAAATTCCAAACTATGTTCCCTAACCAGGAGACAGTCTCCACAAAATTGAGGTGATTATTGTGGGTGGATATACAATCTAGAAAATGCATAAACACACACACATACACATATACATAAATATGTATATATATACATATACCTATATACACATATATGCACATATATATGTGTATGTATACCTATATACATATATATGCATATATATACGTATATATGCCTATATACATGTATATAGGCATATATACGTATATAGGTATTTATACACATATGTATATAGGCATATATATGAATATAGGTATATATATGCATATATATGTATATATGTATATTTGTGTGTATATGTACATATATATGCACAAATATATGTACATATGTATATATGCATATGTACATATATGTAATGTATATATACACACACATACATATATGTATATGTGTTTGTGTATGTGGTGTGTGTGTGTGTGCATGCAATGGTTCACGCCTGTAATCCAGGCTGCTTAGGAGTTTGAAATCTGAGACTTTCATTTTTTTTAAATTTTATCAAAGAAATTTATTTGCATGTAAATAAACAGACTTTTTTTTAATGTTTCAGGAAAAAATTCCCACAGATTTTGTCTACTTTCAAAAAATGAAAACAGAAAACCCAAAATATTTACAGAACTGCTGTACACACAATCAAACTTGATTCCTTTTTAGAAAAGCCCTCCCCACTGCTCCTGATGTGCATTTTAAACGCAGGATTTAAAGCTCACCATTTAGTTGAGCATTAATTTCTAAACTAGCTTCTGAGATACGAAACACCTGCTGCTCCTCCAAAACAAACTGAAAGATAGAAACACGGAGCAGAGATAGAAATGAAATGGGGAAAATTAGATTGCCAAGGGATTATGAATGTTTCCTAAACTGGTATCTGCTGTGATTCAAGTTTGTGGATACTGTATGAATCACTGGCTCCCTGAAAGGGTTCTTCAGAAAGTTCATGATATGGCTGCACTAGATTTTCAGACCTTGGCCTGGAGAAGGAAAATCCTTTTCAAGAGTCATCAACCTCTTTTTTTTTTTGGCAACAATTTTATCCAGTTTCAGTCCTTCATTTTGAAGCCAGTAATGCCAGTAAAGTGTCCTTGAGACACTTATCTCAAATTAAGTACTCATTAACTGGAAATGGAGCTAGGCTCAAGCTAATAGAATGTTAGTCTGGGGAAAAAGAACTGAGTTCAAGCCACACAACCTGCAAAGTTTAAACCGATGCTAGGGGAAAGTCAACCATGGAGTCAGTGAGAAATGAGAAAGAAGATTTGGAGCAACCTGGTAAACAGGATATCTGAGATCTTACAGCTAATTTGACACAGCATGAGCAATAGTTCTCCACTCTTTCTTATTAACAGGGCACTGTGTTCCTAAACCTCAATTGATTGTCAAGCTGGAGCAAGATGAAGAGCTATATATAGAAGAAGCCTCAGACTAGTATTTCGCAGGTCTAATAACAACAGATGCTGGAGGGGATGTGGATAGAAGGGAACCTTACCGCATTGTTGGTGGGAGTGTAAACTTGTTCAACCACTTTGGGAAGCAGTATGGAGGTTCCACAAAAGATTCCACATAGCGCTTCCCTATAACCCAGCAAACCCATTTTTGAGCATTTACCCAAATGATCACAAACAAGACCATACTAAAGCTACCAAAACAAGTATATTTATTGCAGCTTTATTTGCCATAGCTAAGATATGGAACCAGCCCAGATGCCCCTCAGTAGATGAATGGATCAAGAAAATGTGGTATATATACAGAATGGAATTCTATGCCTCCATCAGAAAGACTGACATTGCCCCATTTGTTAGGAAATGGAAAAACTTGGAAAAAATTATATTAAGTGAAGTAAGGCAGGCTCAAAGAAACATAGGCCCCATGGTTTCCCTCATTTGGAATAACTAGTATATGTCTGAATCAAGTAGAAAAGGCCAGATAAGTTGATGTTAGGGAAATGAGCCACAAGATAAGTGTTCAATTTTTTTCTTTAATGCGATTTTTTCTAACATATTTATAAGATTATTTCTTTGTTGCTTTGTATGTGTCGCTCCCCCATGGTATAACCCCTGCCCACACTGTGTTTGCTGTTGGTGTAATTTGTGGAGGGGAAGGGAAAAAACAAATCGTTTAAATAGGGATACAGGTGGACCCATTGCAACAATGAGATGCACAAGTTGTTATGTCTAAAAATGAACTTTACAACTTTGGTTGGGGGGGAAGATGGGAGTTCAGGTGGGAAGGGGGCGGTGGGAGGATGGGAAGGGATTCGAACAGGAAACAAAGGAGTAGGCAACAATGCTTGGTAAGAAATGTACTCATTATCTTGCCCATGTAATTGTAACCCCTCTGTACAGCATTTTCACAAAAAAAAAAAGAATTTAACAGGTGAGTTACAGCATCTTGCATAGTGATCTTGGATCCAGAACTGAGTTGGTAAGTTCATCTTGCTCTGTACTGACCAATAATTTTCCTAATTCCCCTGAGTCCCATGTGTGGCAGAGAACTAGGTGATTCTCTGTTTTAGATTTGTGAATCAAAAAAATGCATGTAGATACACACTGAACTGTGTATGTCAATAAAGTTAAAGTTAGCAATTCTTTCTCGGTGTGGAAATTGTTCTGACAAAAAAGAAAATTAGAAATTTCCAAAATGAGCTTTCGTTTTCTTTGAAACTAGGACACGGCAGGTATAGGATATGAGTATGCCAGGACTGCTATCTTCTGATAAGGATAAGGTGGGGAGAGGCTGGGATACAGAATCAAAGTTTTAGTCTAGAGAGAATGATTAACTAGGTAGTGAGCTGGAGAATCTTTGGGCTTACATGGGTTTGAGGAACAGGAGTAAATTTTGATGAAACTTTGTCTAAAAAGGAGAGAAACAAAATTTAAAATTACTAAGATACTTAAAATAATCCACTGTGGGAAGTTAGAAATGAAGATATGTGTATATAAAATCTTACCCTCAGGTGACAAGCAAAAGGCTTTTATAAAAAAAAAAGGTATGATCTCCAAAATTAGAAAACGCTCTTCTCCTAATGTTTGAGACGTAGAGTAGCATAATATATATATTTTTTAAGGAAAAAAACAACACAAAGCAGCTATTCCGCTAAGACCAAGCAAAACAATATTTCAGAAAATAACAAAGAATACTAAATACAACAGTATGCAGCCTAAAATGCTAGCCATAAATAGTTTAGTAATTTGTGTAAATAATTCCTCTGATATGAAAAAAGCAAGAGAACTGAAAAAGAAAAATCCATTTTCTGTCGTGAAATATTAGTATTATTTTCTTAATACATTATAGAGAAAGAAATATATCTCTCATAAATCATTACCTATTTTAATATTTTAAAATCTCTAATAGTATGGGGAAAATGTCTTTACCTTTACATTAAGGATCTCATTTATGTTTTTGTCTTTTTTTTCATGACTCATTATAGATGTTCAAGAAATGGAGGATGTGATTACAACGTACCAGGAAAGTTCAGATGAATGTCTGTGTGAAGTACTGCCATGAATAGTAACAGAGTGGAGCAAAGAGCAAAACATAAGCCAAAGCTGAATAGGAATGAAGAGAACTCCTTAAGGGTGAGGAATGTAGAGTTCATTCAGCATCAGAACATGTTACCCTATTGCGAGCCTGGTGAGATGCCTGCTGCATATATGCCTGGTCTGTCTCCTATAGATAAACAATCCCTTAGATATTTGGAGCCTTTTAGTTGAAATTATGAGGGTCCAAATGAGCTTCAGTATTTTGAATATGGAGGAGGGAAGATTTTAAACTCAGAGACCATATTCTTTCCACATAATTGAATATAGAGAAGAATATGATAAGTCTGATCTTTTTGCCCAAGAAATTTGTCAGGGAGGGAGCAAAACACCTGAAAGCACTATATGCGGAAAAACATTCCACTTAAGGTGTACAGACACTATGAATCAGAAAAAAACACACAGGAGAGAATCCTTATATAGGTAATGAATTGAGAATTCAATCAGTAAGAATTTACACCTTACAAAACCTGAGAAGAAATATCCAGAGAAGCCTGATGAGTATAAGTAATGTGCAAAATCTATCTCTAAGAAGTCAGAACTGACTTGTCAACCTAAAACACCATGAGAAGAGAAACTCTATGAATATGAAGAATGTAGAAAATTTTCCACTCTTGAAGTTAATTCCCAGAAAGCATCAGAGAACTGACACAGAACAGAAACCTTATGAATGTAATGAATGTGGAAAGTATTTCAGATGTAAGTCAAAGCTTACTGTCCATCAGAGAACACCCACAGGAGAGAAACCTAACGAATGTAATGTGTGTTCAAAGTCTTTCACCCAAAAATCAGACCTTACTCTTCATCAGAGACCAAACACAGGAGAGAAACTATATGAATGTAAAAAATGTGGAAAGAACTACAGATACAAGTCACAACTTACTGCCCATCAGAGAACACACACAGGAGAGAAACCTTATGAATTTAACAAATGTGGAAAGTATTTCAGATGTAAGTTACACCTTACTGTCCATCAGAGAATACACACATGAGAAACACCTTATGAATGTAACACATGTGGAAAGTGTTTTACTCAGAGGACATACCTTTGTCATCATCAGAGAACACACACAGAAGAGAAACCTTAAAAATGTAATGTGTGTGCAAAGACTTTCACTCAGAAATCAGACCTTACTGTTCATCAGAGAACACACACAGGAGAGAAACCATATGAATGTAACAAGTGTGGCAAGTCCTTCACATGGAGTTCACAGATCAGCAGGCATAAAAGAATCCACATAGATGAGAAACATTAGGAATTTGATAAATATGGAAAATCTTTCATGTGAAAGAAAAAGCAGCTTGTATCAGAGAACCCAAACAGGATATAAGATTTGTGATTATAGCAAATGGGCAGTCTTTCACACAGAAGGCATACCTCAGTGTTCAACATTGAATGCACACAGTGAAAAATCTTGTGAATTAAATATGTGAAATTTTTTCGAGAAGAAATCATACTTAAATTTTCATCAGCAAACAAACAGGAGAGAAATTTTATGAATGTAAAAAGTACCAAAAATGTCCTTCACTAAGAAGTCATGCATGGATGAGTGTTTATAGACCACACACGAATGAAAACTTATAGATAATATCAATGCAGAAAATCTCACTTCGAAGTCATACCTCAGTGTTCATCAGAGAAACGACTCCCATAGGAGAAAAGAAAACTAACAAATATACCAAATATGCAATGACTTTTACTGTGAAGTCAGTCCTCAGTGCATCCAAGAATATAAACAGGAGAGAAAAAGTGAATATAATAAATGTAGACAAATATTTAACCAGAAGTCATGTCTCTACAGGTTTCAGAGCGCTGGTGACATGACAAAATGTCTCGTGAACATTAGAGGATGTCTTTCAAGCAGAAATCACCCTTCAGTCAGCATTGGAGCACTCACACAAAATGAAACGCAATGTAGGTAAACCTTTGGCAAAAACCTCTGTGATTTATAGAGCAACCCTTTATGGCAGAATTAAACTAGGTGTAATGGAAAACCACCCACTGAGCCAACATTTCTCATCCTCTCATTGTATTGCGTAGGGATGATGTGCCTTCATATTCAAAGATTGGACAAAAGTGATAGGTATCAATTACTTCCAGGCTTGACAAATAATTAAGATAGTGAAGTTGTTGACTTGTGTCTTTTATATTATGGAATGGCTGTTGGAGGAAATTTAATAAACTCTTCTCAGAAATAAGAGCTCTAGACCTTTGAGATTTGATTGGGATCATCCAAAGTGGTTTGGTAGTGATAGATGAGGAAAGACTACCATGCTTGAAGCCAAGGACATGAGAGCAATGGCTACTCTACTGCTCCCCAAAAGTCTTCCACTATATGTGTGGTCCATGCATTATAACATTATTACTATTACATTTCAGTTTTTGAATGGAATATCTGTTGGAAGATAACACTCCTTGTTTATTACAAAATGTGTACAGGAGTAAAATCTGTCTCATCATCTTCCATCCCCAAGTTCATGAAACATTCAGAAAACATGAAAGAATACATATTTGGGAATACATTTTCTTTGTGTGTGGGTAGAAGTCTGTAGCATGAACTCAAAGCCTAGCCACTCTCCTTAAGTACTTTTGCTCAAGGCTAAAGTCTGCCACTCGAATCGCAGCTCCATTTTTATTTTCTTTGGTGGGGAAATGAAAACATGATTCATAAGCATTTGGCTTTTTATGAGTAACCTCAAAATGACTTTAGTACTTTCTTTTTATATTTAATTAATTACTGCTGATGCATCAATTGTGACTGATTCACATTTAGCCCACTAAGATGTTGCTCTGAGTGAGTTATAATAAAACACTAGTGTGGATAATGTGGAGAGCCTGTATTTTCTCACTGTTATGGAGGCTGAAAGTGAATTTCTCAGGAGGATGAATATCTCTCTACCCCCACTAATATTGCTTTTTCCAGTTCCATGAAGATGAGTGTAAAAAAGCACAATTAAGTTATGGTTTTGCTAAATTTAATTCTGTAGCAATTTAAAAAAAACTAGATTTTCAAAAAAATGAGGAACAAGAGCTAGCAGAATACTTACAGATATCCATGGGATTATAGAGATAAGAAAAAATAGGACTCTGCTAGATATTTTGCAGGGTAAAATACAGGTAAAAATGATCCTTGTGGCTGTCTAATACATATGTAGGTACATAGACTATGGTTAAACTTTCAGACCAGAGGTAAAGGGTGTTTCAATGAAGCATTTAAATGCAAATTATACTGACTTTAAAAAAGGTATTAAAAATGGCCTACCCTTTGTGAAAATTTTGGTAAGTTGTCGGTACTGTCAGGCCTCCCAGACAAAGAAAAGTTTAAATGGGAAAATTACCCTAAAGTCTATTTCAAAATAGAAGAGATAAATTAGGATCACCAAAATGATTGTTTAACCTACTTTGCCATTATAGGTTTTTTATAGCACTTTCCAAAGGGAACACAATAAAGGACAGAGGACAAGTTTGTCACATGTAATGTTGGCCCTCAATAAGTTCAAGGTAAGACCATGCTTATAAATCCATTTCCAATGACCATCTTTTTGCTTTTAGTTGGAGTAAATATGCCCACAAGTAAAGATTCATTGATCTGAAAAATGATGTCAAGCCAGGCTGGGCAGAGAAAGGGCCCTGTGAGATTCTCATCTTTAATCTGCCAGCAGAGTATTCAAAAGCAGAGTTGGTTTGGAGTTCAAAGTGGCAAAGTACTAGCTTTGATCTGGAGAGCTGAGCGACAATGCTCAAACCCTGAGTTCAAGCCCACCAACTGACCAAGGAAACTGCCAAAGATTTATTTATCCCAGCATAGAGAAAGACATTCCTGGAACCCTGAAAATGTTGGAACATGCAGAGGCAGTAAGACACTGCTCGTTGGATGGCAGAGATGGTATCAGATACTGAAGTCACTTGTGCCTGTCTCTTCAAAGCTTGATCAGAGTCCGGAGGTCATGGGAAGATAGTTTGTAGGCATGCTTAATGCCCATGTCTGTCTAACACAGCATGGACTTCCCAGTCATCTACGGTACTGTGTAGTACAAGTTAAAGTTGTAAAATATGAGGGAAAATTTATATCCCAACTCACTGTATCAGCTCAAAGTCCCAAATTGGCAGTGAGTTTTGAGCTGGCCCAGCCACATTAATTCATCTGTTAAGGAAAGAAAGTTGTGGACCTGAGATTAGGTCCCCATTGAGATCTAACTGACTGCAGAGGCAGACATTGCTGCAACTACCACATATCAGGCTCCTCATCCAGCCAGAAAAAAGTTTTTACAAACCAAATGTTGAACAAGATATGCTGCTATAGCCCAAGAAAGGGTCTGTACATCTGTTAAAGGTTATATTAGTGATTTTAAACAGGCTGCCCAGATGCAAGGAGTGATACTTAGAATGGCAATCAGATGCAGTTTAAAAACATCTGCTGGGATTTATTGCAAAACTCTGGCAAGTAATTGTTAGTCAATTGTTTACAAGTTATAGGTAACCTCAATCTCGTTGATTTCCTTGTTGCTTTTATTGGAAATAAAAAGGGCTTTTGTGACAAAGACTCCTTTTGCCACAGTTGAAAGCCATCCTGTGCACAAAGAATCTCTGCAAAACTCAATTTCCCAGCTAATCAGCCAAGCACCAGTGTGGAGGCATGGCTCAAGGAATCTCACCTCCAAGGAACTCTCTTAGAGTAGAGCGCTAGCCTTGCAGAAGTGCTCAGAGAGAGTGCCCAGACCTTGAGTTCAAACCCAGTCAATGCCAACTAGGACAAGCTCTCCCAGCAACACACTAAGACCCCCTTTCACTCCCCCCCACACCATCTAGGACAAAATTAGTCCTTAAAATGGAAAACCATGGAGAGGAGTAAGAGGAGATGACATCCTAAATGGAGTCACTTTATGCTTGCCCTTTCAAAATTAATCAGAGCTGGGAGAACAAGAGAAATAGTTGCTTGCCCACCTAATGTCCATACCTGTCTATCTTCTAACTGGACAGAAAGTTCCAGTCTTTTTTTGTTACTTGCTATTTGTATTTATAGTAGCCTCTGACTGGTATTCCCAACTAGTCCATTATCTTCTCCCCTACCTAGTTGTACAAAAGCCTACTTCCCTGAATAGGGGCTTATACTTCAAATAAAACTTTTCTGGCCCATGGCTAATGTGTGTTCTCCTATGCCATTCATACAAACTGACCTTGGTACCTTGTCATCTTTTTGCCTGATCTATCCAAAAGTCTCTTTTTACAGGATAACAGCCCCCACTCAGGACACCACCTGGGAGGAAGTCATGGCTGTCCGGTTACTACAGGCAACTGGAGACATCATTTACATTGCCCTGCTGGACCCTAATGTCCCTAGCTCCAGTGACTCCTTAACCTCCCCAGCAGAAAGTAGCCAAAATAGCCCATGACACCATTTGACTGTGGTATCTTTAAATATCTCTGCTACCTACTCAGGCTACTCTAATCCTGAAGTTGAAAAAGTCTTACCTCCCCCCTCCAGGATGCCAGGAGCCAGGAACCATGCTGTCTCTTCTGGTAATCAAACCTTCCTGGCTTATTTCTCTCTTGGGCTCCTAAGAGCAATTTTTGCCTGAACAGCAACTTTATTTTTTATTAAATGTGTCTTGAATTTTAGATAACTATTTTCATGGAAAAAGAAGACCTTTATGAAACAGTCAAGTAGATGGTTCTTGGATAGTAACCGGCCAAGCAATAAAGCAGGGGCCCCTGACTACTTTGCCCCTTTACAAAAGAAGTTGCTCAAGAAGAAATAACCTCCATATCCCCCAGCCTGGTTCCCCTATGTATATTAATCAGCAAATTGGGGAATGTAAGCATTATGCCTACTGTTGGTCCTCAGCTCCACCCAGACCTGGACTCCTTCCAGCTGTGAGGTTCCAGCCATACAGCTGCCCCCTCCCTCTCCCTGCCCAGACCCACCTGAGCATGCACCTACCTCACTTCCTGTCCCCAGATCCTCCTGCTATCTGGATAGGGACATACGCCATGTGCTCCCTCTCCTAGGACATTATGGCTTCTTTAATAAACCTTATAGTAATCTTTATCCTGTGCCTGCCTTCCTCTGTGTGGTCCCCTGGGAAGAATGTGAAGGATCCTTTCACCTTGTAGACACCCAGTCTCTGCCACAGTCCCTAACTCACTGACAACCACACAAGTGATTTTCCCTTCATCATCCACTATCCACTGCACTCTCCTGAGGACACTACTTGTGATCACATCCCCAGGATCCTC